ACTTCCTGTGTGGTCTGTTGAGTCCAGTGTGTACCTAGCATTATCAACATTTTCCTCATCATAGCTTGTAGTACAACCAGTATTGGTACCAAGATACAAATATTTTGAGGTTTCAAAATTAAGTTTTATTAGACTACTAAGCTAATAAGATAAATATGTAGTAAATACTCCCCTTGCTCTGCTGTGATATTGAAATCGTTAAAGTCTAGGAAAAATACAAAAGGAAGCATGATTCCTATAGAGAAGGAATATTTTAAGAAAGATTACTGTAGAAAGACAGCACCTTATCAAGCTCTTGATGACACTCTTAATTCAGAGTTGATTATGATAGAAGATGGGGGTGACATCTGGAAGTGGAGTTACATATATGTATTTAGCCATCACTTGCTTGTTCATTCTTGGATTTTTGTGTCTTGATCTCTTGGGTCCCGAGTCTTTGAATATTTAAAGATACATATTTCTTGAATCTCATTTTTTCTAAGTTATGAAATTACTCCCACACTGTATCTCAATTAATAACTATATTAGTCTATGAATAATTTCTAGACTTCCCTTTTTTCACTTAACATTTCCAGCCTCATAAGTTTCTTCTAGGCAACATGGTTTTGATCAAAGACTTCCCATCTCCTCTCCTGGGCGTTCTTCACTCCCTTGATTTAGTGGAGTGCATGCTTTGGAAGCTTCTTGACAATAGTCACAGGAAGTAAAGGCCTTGCCTGTCTGAAACAAAAACTGTGTGTTCAGCCCCATGGAAACATGGAGTACTGTAGGCGTGTCTTCAGTGAAATGCCTGGTAGAACTTTGGAATTACTGTTTGACTTGTCTTCTGGCTTCCAGCTTTGTTAAAGACTAATGCCATTCAGATTCTGAAAAGTAGTCAAACCTCTCTCTCTCTCTACAAAAACGAAAAAGGCCTGGGTTTTAGATTTTGCTTTGACTGTCTTTTTTCTTCTTGAACATTTTACTTTAAGTCTCTTGCTTTTTAATTTCACAGTAATATACTTTGGCATGGCTACCTGTTTTCATTTATTTTTAGTCTTTCATTCTAAATACTGATTAACTACAGTTTGGGAAAATATGTTGGATTCCCTCTTTCCTCAGTTCTGCAGTTCTGTTTAATTGGATAACAGAGCACCTGAACTGATCTTATTTTATTATCTGCCTTCCTTGAATTTTGGTCCTACTTCAGGCTGTGTAGAGTTGTGGTGAAGGACTTTGGAGCCAGAAGAGCTGTTGGAATCCTCTTGTGGCTAATTCCTAGCTATAGCCATGTTCTTAGCCCATCTGCTTTTACCTTTAAGGTATTAAGACTAAATTCAAAGTATGCAGGGGTAAATTGTTATATTCAAAATATGTAGATAATTTTCTCATACATAGTAAATGTTAATTATTAATTGACAATAGTATTGCCTTAAATGAAGAACCCATCTTTCTAGGTGAATTTTTAATTTCTATAGTTTTTTTTAAATTGTGTGTGTGTGTGTGTGTGTGTGTGTGTGTGTGTGTGTGTGTGTGTGTGTGTGTGTGAGGTGTGAGGTGTGTATTTGAGTCCCATATGCCATGGTGTGTGTAGAGGTCTGAGGACAGCTCTATGGAGTCCATTCTCTCCTTAGACCTTTCCTTAACCTGCTGAGTCATTTCACCAACCCTAATGCCTTTCTTCCATTGCTGTTACTGTTTTCTAGCCTCTCATTCTTATTTCATGGATGCAGCAGCAATTGAGAACAGTTACGGGGGCGGGTGTGTGTGTCTTTAACATATAAGATGGAAATCAAAGAAAGTAACCAGTAACAACCCATGTGAATCAAAAATCTTAAAAGTTTAGGAAGGATCAGGATTTGAACTGTTCAAGTTTCCTTCTGTTTTCTGGATTGACATTTGTATGTTAAAGACCTTTTCTTAATTCCTCATGATTATATTCAAATTCTATTTGACCTGAGTATATGTAGGTATATTTTGTCCTCTGTATATCACATCAAGGAGTGCTTGGGGCTGTTTAGAAATTTTGCCCATTTTAAAAACTACAGTATTTGCCTTTATTCATATTGATTTTTAAGAGTTCTTTGTATGGTAATGATACTGCCCATTTGTTTTTGATAGATAATATAAATATTGTTTGCCATCTTTTGAATTTGCTTCCGTGTATTTTTTTCCTTTCCTTTGTTGTATTGTGCCTAATAGAAAGGTCCCTTAAAAACCCCCAATGACTGTTTTATGTCGAAGATAGGACTTACAGTAGACCAAGAAGCCTTGGTGTCTGTTTTTCTTATACATAGACCGTGTGTGTGTGTGTGTGTGTGTGTGTGTGTGTGTGTGTGTATGTGTGTCTATAGGTGGACTGTGAGGAGGGTTCTTTGTCAGTGTGAGATTTGTCTTTATTCCTGTCCTCTTCTTTTTCCACTGTCCTAGTTTGGTCTTCGGTTGCTGTGACAAACACTGACCAAAGCAACTTGGGGAGGGAAGGGTTTATTTCAGCTCACAGTTACAGTCCATCATTGAAGGAAGCCAAGGCAGGAACTCAGAAGCAGGAGCTTGAGTAGAAACCTCAGGAATGCTGCTTCTGGGCTTGCTCAGCTACCTTTCCTATACCTACCCAGTGATAGTACCACCTACAGTGGGCTGGACCTTCCTGCATCAGTTAGCAGTTAAGGAAATGTATTGCAGACATGGAAAAGGCCATTCTGATCTGGGCAATTCTTCAGTTGAGGTTCCCTCTTAACAGGTGACTCTAGGTTGATCGGTGAAGCTTACTATGACACCCACTGCCTAGTAGAAATTCTGAATTTCTTTCTGTAGTATCTCCCACTCCCCTCTCCAGTTCTGGTATCGGTCTCTAAGCATTTTAAAAATGTGGAACAGACAATATTCTGGGCTGACTGGCTTTTCTCCCTACCTAGATGCAAAACACTTTTCTCCGTGGAGCTCTTTCTTGTGTAGAACTGACTCAGAGAAACCTCAGGTTTTCAAATGTTTTTGATGCTGTATGCCATGAATTGCAACTTGAAGGCTTGTATTTAGTCCTTGCAGCAATAAATTTTAGCCTCATGCATTAATATTAGGAAGTCATGGGGCATCCTTGTCGTCCATCTTGGCCTTTGAGAATTATGGGGTGAGACTTTGCTACCTTAACAGCACTTAAGATACTGTTTGAGCAATCTTGTCATCTCTTTCATGTATTTTCCTACTCTTTTGCTGCTGACTTATATCAGATTCTTCATTTCTCCCGTTTGAAGTTTTATGTACTCTCAGTTTAGTGAATTTTGAGAAGTGGAAAGAAACAAGTATAACCAGTGCTCTTAACTGCTGAGCCATCTCTACAGCCACAATAAATATTTTTTTTTTTTTTTTTTAAGTTCAGACTGTTTGACTTAGGGAAATGGAATTCCTGACTGAATGGCATGAGAACTCTTTCCCCCTGGCTTTGTATTAGTTGTGTTTGAGCTATGAGTCTAGGCATCAGGCTGCCTGTGACTTTGATCTCAGTTGAGTTGAGAGAAGACAGTTCCTATAAGAACCTGCACAGCCTAGAAGTAGAATGTCTCTTTCCTCGCTGGTTACTCATCTCTCAGAGTGCTTCTCTTCCTTCTCTCTGCACATCATCTACCCCAGGGCCTCCTGGAGGCCTCCTTTCCTGTACTTGTCTTGGTTTCTGTCTTCTCAATTCAGCTTACATCTGAGTCTCCATGAACATTCCAGACTGTGTCTTTGTAAGTGAGGTAACTAACATTCTCCCATTTAGTATGCGAGTTTGATTTTAATAGAGCACTTCAGGCAGATATTAGTCCACATTGAATATTGCATGAAAGAATCTAGCATTTAAGTATCAAAAGTGACTGTGAGTGCATCTCTTGGTTTTTTGCTCTTCCTAATTTGCATTAGGACTTAGTATGGTGTGGCAGAAAGGCCACTTCTTTGTCAGTTCTTCATTACTATAATGAAGAACCAAGCATGACAGATTGCATAAGGCTGCTTTAGCTCACATTTTTGGAGGCTCGTGGACTTGGCACTTGGCATCAGTTTGGCACTGATAAAGGCCTCATGGTGATTGGCACCACAGTGGTGGGTGTGGGATGAGGATGAGGATATGGAGGTGAGGGATTACCTTGCCACACAAGAAGCCAGGGAGCCATTAATGGCTTAGGCTGAGCCTTGCATAACAACTTAGTGTTGGGAAAATTACTCTGGAATCTCATCAGAACTGCTTTAATATTTTGGAGCTACATGTATGTCCTCAGTGACCTAACAACCACCTACTGGAACCATATTCTGAAGGATTGCACTTCAAATGAGTTGGTGATGAAGCTTTGAACATAGGAACTCTGGAGGTGCAAATGCAAACCATCTCCAAGTGTAGCAAGTGGTAATGTAAACCTCAGGAGTCTTAGGTGATAGACCTGTTTTGTTGTTCTCAAAGCTTTTGCATTCTTTATCAGTGTGTGTTTAAATTATTGGATTGGGTAGAATAGTGCTAAGGTATTGCCATAGTTACTTTTCTGTTGATGTGAAGAGACGCCATGACCAAGGCAACATATAGAAGAAAAAGTTTATTGGGGCTTACAGTTTCAGAGGGTGAGTCCATTGACCATGGTGGGGGAGCATGACAGTGGCAGGCAGGCATGGACCTGGAGCAGTAGCCAAGACCTTACATGCTGAGGCGACAACCTCAAAGAAGAGAGAGAAAAAGAATTTTAAAAATTTTTTAAAAATCAGAAACGAGAATAACCTAAGTGATAGGAATCCATAAGGGAATTTATGATGGAGCGCACTCTTCTCGTTTAACATGATTATTAACGTAATGGGACAATCTTCATACACTGATTTAAATCAAGAGTGATCTCTAGTCACAACCCCCCTCCCCAATTGAGTTGTACGTAAGTACTACAATGCATTTCTTAAGTCTAATATTGAAGTTTTAAATACTTTTGGTCTTCCATGACTTTTAAAAACTATAGTTTGATATTCAGAATAGTTAAATAACTTGGGTTTCCTTTATGTTTTAGGATTTAAGTGCCCGGTATGCTCAAAATTTGTACCTTCAGATGAAATGGATTTGCATCTTGTGATGTGTTTAACAAAGCCAAGAATAACCTATAATGGTAAGTTCAATGCCTTAAATAACATTGTAATTTCGCATTGCCATAAATAATGTGAATTTCATGTTTGAAGCAAAATTTAAGGGCAGGGAAGGATTCAAATTCTCATCTCAAGATACCTTTGTATGTTAATTAGGTTATATCTATTAGTAAGTGAAAATAAATACATTTTTCCAAGACAATTTAATGGCAAGAGTGGCATTGTCTTTTATGTTTTTTAAATTCTTAATATCTGGCTTGATAACAAAGAATTATATCTTTTCCACAGTTAGTTTTTTTTGTAATAGGGCACATCAGATACCCTGGAAAATTCCACTGGGACACAGGAGAGAGTGGAAATGAAAAGGCAAATGATGTGACCATAAAAACAGGATGGCCAAGATGCTGTGCTGAATACAGTCGTTTAGGTTAGGTCTAAAGAAAAAGGAATGTTTGTCATGACTTTGTTCAGGAAAAAAATGTGTTTAAGATATGTAATAAGTGAAGGACTGGAGAGATTTCTCAGTGGTTAAGAACACTTGTTGCTCTTCCAGAGAGCCCAGGTTCAATTCCCAGCACCCCCATGGTAGCTCACAACTCTGTAACTCCAGTTCCAGGGGCCCTGACACCCTCTTCTAGCCTTTATGGGCACTGCACACATATGGTGCACCGACATACATACAGGCAAAGTACCTGTACACATAAAAATAAATAACTCTTACACAAATGTATAATAAATGATACATTGTTAACAGAAGGTATAGGGTTTGTTCATAGTTAGACAACTGTGGGAGGAAATAAGTGTAGGAAGTGGAGACTGAAACGTTATCTGTCTCTTTGAACCCACAGATAAATTTCATTTTTGTGCTACCTGGCAGTTGCTTTAGGTCTAGTGTGTAGGACCAGGGTATTCTCTCATGACCCTAGGAATACAGTCTTTGGTGTCATCACAGAACAAGTAGAATAAATTCAGGAATTAAAAATCAAATTGTTCCTCCTGGCTAATAGAAAAACAAACTTGAGTTGGATTTTGTGGTGTTTGCCTATAAATAACTTTAGCATAGCCGAGTCTGAACTCATCCTGGGCTGTTTATGTAGTAAGACCCTGTCTCTTGATGCAAAGAAGTAAGTAAATAGAGGCACTTGGTGCATACCTAAATGCCATTAAGAAAAAAAGAAGAAATGGCATCTGAGGCTTAGATATAAAGTGCATGGTGAGAATACTAGTAATTAGCAAAATCTGTTGAAAGACTAAGTTTAGCAACTCTCTTTTGGGTACTTATGTATAAGATACTATGCTAAGTGCTACAGTGAAGAAGACAGACAGAGCTTACGGCCTATCAAGAGTCGATGAGATGAATATATTCTTCAGATAACTTTGTCAAGTGTTTTAGGAAGGTAGTGTCTCTAGCCTTAGTATCACAGTGGTGACAAGCATTTTTTTTCATTTACCAGTGTATAAGTGGAAAGAACGTCTAGCCTTTACTTTGAATAGTAAATGTATTGGTTATGTCCTAACTTTTTTGCCTTATGAAATTGTCTTCTTTACATAATCTAGTTGAAATTTATTTACTAAAAATTCTCATTCAAGTTCAGAATCTGAGACTAAATGTTGATAGTTTTGTTTCTGTACTTGCTCCATTGTTCTGCCATTATACTTCATAATTATGTTTAATATATATATACACACACACACACACATATATATATATATATCCATAAAATAACTGTCCTTTAATGTTAACCCCTGGCTTTTAAAAATTGCAACTACATTTCATTGAATTAAAAAGCATATATTTGCACATAATCATAGTATTCTGTAATTTAATTTTTTTATATCTAGACTACTACCTAAATGTTATGATATTTGACAGCTTTTCATTTCCTGACTTAACCGTGTTTAAGTTATTAAATTTGTCTACTCGATTGTCTCCAAGTGTAACTAAATACAGAGGCTCTTGTCTTGGTGAGTGCTAAGCCAAGGAGTGCAGCCCAAGGACAAAGAATGGAGAGAAGCCTTGGCTGGTAGCAAGTGAGGAGAGCACGAGGGTTACTACCAAAGTATTGTTCTCTTGTGGTGTTGGGGGTCTTCTGGGCAGGTTTATTCGAGGTTGCCTGAATGAATGAGTCAGAGTGACTCTGTGGCCCTAGCGAGTCCTCTAAATTTTCCTGTAGAGTTTTAACTATAGAAAAACAAAACAAAACAAAGCCGCTTGAAAGGCATGTTAGCAGTCTTTAAAAAACAGCAGCCTTCTCCTCAAGTGTTAAGAGTTTGCCCCTAATGCTTCCTATACTACTTAGTGGTTATTGACCCCCGCCCCCTCCCCGCGCGCGCGCGCGCACACACACACACACACACACACACACACACACACACACACACTCACTCATTCACTCACTCTGCTCTGCTAGGAAACAGAGTTAAAGCCATTTTGAAAAATAACTAGGCCTGGGTCTTTCTATAAACATTTACAGCAAGAAGCAAAACTTTCATAAATTTTAGATAGTTTTTAATTTTAAAACTAGCCTATGGGCTGTGATGACACACAGGTGAGTGAAGAAGGATCTTTGGCTGTACATTATGATCTAGGGCTTACAGAGAGGTGGCACATTGGTAAAGTTTGTGTCTATCTTGGGTGTGGGGAATTCTAATTGGGTTAAAGGCAAAGCCCCAGAATACCACTTACCACATTGATGGTGAGTCTGATTGGAGGTGGCCTCTTTAATGCCTAAGCAAAGCATCTGTTATATTATGTTATCATAAAGTTTAGAGCAGGTGAGTCAGAGACTTTGAAGCTGAGTCTTTCTGGTCACAAGGCTGCTTATAGTTTTGTGTTTGAATTCCTAAATGTTGACACCAACTCAACTAGATTGGGCCTCTAAATTACGTTAATGCTTAAACAAGAATTCTTATTCAATATGATAATACTTAGTCACTTGTATCTTGTGCAGACTTCCAGAAGTAGCTAGATCTGAGAATTTGAAATTTATTTATAAAGTGTATATTAACTACCTATAAAAATTCGCAATTAGAATAGTCAGGCTTATTTTCAGACACCTGTATTTATAGAGGAACTCTGAGAGAAGGTGAGTTCCAGTCACTTGAATATAAGCTGATGATCCAGAGCTTGAGATTCATCCCACAGAGATACTATACATGCTCCTATTGAGGAACCTGGTCTGTGCATTTGTTTGGGTTCAGAGAACCTGTGTCCTTAGTGTCTAGGTTTATTCCTACTGCAAGAGAAGATGTAGCAGTGGTTCTGTTAGACTCCTCAAGAGTGTGTCTACAATGACTCACTTCTTACTTACTGTAGTATTACAGCGTGGGGGCCATGCACTGGTACACAGCTGATGGACATTCAGAACCCGGTCTAGTACTGGCTTTAGTGGTCTAGACTTTGTGAGCATGTAAGTGTCATCTGAAAGGAAATTCCTAGCAAGCGCTCTGCGTGTTTGTCTTTGTCTTACTGAAACACTCATAAACTTTCTGTAGGATAACCATGGCACTGGGGGCATGCTGCTTTTTCTTACTCAGCATTAACTTGCTGAATGGATGCTTGCTTTGAACTTGAGTAGTGTGTGTGTGTGTGTGTGTGTGTGTGTGTGTGTGTGTGTGTGTGTGTGTGTGTGTGATTTTCTTCTCTTTTAAAACAAAAAACTCAGCATTAACTTGCTGAATGGATGCTTGCTTTGAACTTGAGTAGTGTGTGTGTGTGTGTGTGTGTGTGTGTGTGTGTGTGTGTGATTTTCTTCTCTTTTAAAACAAAAAACAGCTTAATTTATTAAATTTAGTTAGGTTTGTTTTTGAAACAGAATCTGTAGCCCAGGCTGGCCTCAAACTTAATAAACTTCTTGCTTTGGCCTCTCCAAGTACTGAGATTCTGGGCTTTTTCTTTTTTGTTTGGTGTTAGAATGTGTTGGTAGATTTTTCTAATGGTCTAATTGAATTGTATTGATTCTGATATTGCTGGATTTTTACATCTTTGATCATGAAGTGTTTAAAAACATTGCTACTGAGGTTACTTACTCACAGGCAAAGATTATGGACCAGACACTCTTCCTTTGCTCTGAAGTCTGTAATTCAGGAAGTTCTGCTGTCTCATCAGCTACAACACAACGGTGAATCCATTCGCTCTTAAAGACGACTGACAGGTTCTTCAGTCCAGTCATAGTTGTCACTTCCTCAATGCATCTGGGAATTTTGTTTGGAAATAATCCTTTTCTATGTCAGAGTGTGGTGGAACAGTTATTATATAATGACATACCCAGGAGGTGGGGGCAGGAGAAGCAGGATTACATGCGAGCCTGGGCTACATGAGACCCTTCTTCAACTACCCAAAATCAATAATATTTTCCTCTAAATTTTATATTTCATCAGTGTACATTTCATATGTTTCTCACATATTTTATTCTTTAAAATATCTTTGGTTGTATTTTTTTTTCATTGCAATATGTGTTTTTGTACTTCAGGCAAAGCTAAAATATTTAATTGATATTTTCAAGAAGATAATAGTTTTAAATAAAGCTAAAATTTATTTATGCTAAGTACCAAATAGCTTATTTCTTTTCATTCTCTATATTTTAATAATAAACATTTTAAGAATAAATTTTTAATAGCTTTGCCAACTCAATATGCTTTATTCCTTTTACTAATTTTAAAGGTAATTTTGGTAGAGAGATATAGTGGGAATTGATTTTGATTTTGATGTTATAGAGCACTGTTCATACCACTGTGTTTTTGAAATTCATTGATTATTTGTGATTAAATACATCATTGCTTTCTGTAAATAATGATTATAAGCTGTCATAGTTTTAGCTGTAAACTTGACAGAAACCTATTGATTATTTGTGGTTTAGTTGTCAACTTGACACAAATTGATTATTTATGATTAAGTACACCATTGGCTTTCTGTAAATAATGATTATAAGCTGTCATAGTTAGTTTTAGTTGTCAACTTGACCCAAACCTAGAGTCACCTGGGAAGAGAAACCTCACTGAAGAATTATCTTGATGAGACTGA